CCTTACATGCCCCAACCCCCAACCCCCCCCCCCGCTCCTCCTGCCAGGTTGACCTATAGTCCCGCTTGCATTTTCAGCCCAAGCGTCGGCTGTGAAAAGTGACTTCATGCTGAATTTGGGGGCTGCGCAGCGTTACCGGCTCTCACGCTGCAAGCCCTGGCCCTCCTTTTCTTTCGCTCGCTTTCCCACACTTTCCCCCGCTCATTGTGTGCCTGCTGCTTTTTTTCTCCACCTATTCAGCCCAAATTAGTCACGAGCAGCTCCCAGCTTGGAGAGGAAAAATAAATTAGGTGGTGTTTTAAACACAGTGTGATTAGAATGATTCCCCCCCCCCTTCCACACCACAGAGGGGAAAGCCCAGCGTTTAAAAGATGCAGTGTCCTCTATAACATAAAATCCCACCAAGCGGAAAAAAGCAAAGCAGGGGGGAGAAAGGGGAGGGGAGATTTCTACAGGCAGCGACGTACCCTATAGCACTGGTGGAAGCGGCTGCTGGAGGCAGCTGCTGGACCAAGGCAGGGAATACAGAAAGTGCCTATATGCAGGCAAAGGGAGAGAGTGACGAATAAAGAGGAAGAGAGGGAGCAGACCCAGTGCTACCATGGGCCAAAGGAAATGCATCCTGCACAAGGGGCGGGAGGTGAAACGAAGAAGCAAGAGACACCCCAGCTTTATTCGAGCGCAGGGTAACCATCAGGCTGAGGATGCTTGGGGAGAGGAAGGGGCAGAGGATGCCTCTAAAGTATGGGGAGAGATTTAGAACAGCAGAGCGGCACTGTCCCAATGAGAACGTACGCGCACGGGAGACCGAACAAGCTGGCTGTGCGGTTCCTAGAAGCAATAGATTCTAGGAGTCAAATAGGACACCAAGACAGGCTATCTGGTTTCTGTTCCCAGCCCAGGGAAGAGAAACCATTGACTAGTTAGAAGAGACTGAAGTCAGGACTCCTGGGCTCTGTTCCTGCCTCAGGAAGGGAAGCATAATCAGAAGCGCATAAATTGGTACTCCTGGGTTCTACATCCAACTCTGCTGTAAAACCTGAAGTGGACTGCGTCCTTTTACCGTATTTTTGCTCCAGGCTAACAAGCGGGGGAGGAAACTGGCAGTACTCAAACTCCCTGCACCTGCCCTACAGTCAAACAGCTGATCATTTATGCTACCCGGGTAGTATATGGAAAAACAGAAAAAGTGACCAAAAATAAAGCAGCCAAGGACAGCAAGGACATTTGCACTTTGCAAGCAAATCGCTAGAACTGAGAGCATCAGACTTCTCAGCACCAAACAACAAAGGTGATCTGGGCACTTTACACACAGTACCCTGCATGCACAGGATGCTTTACAGGACAATTAAAAGCAGAGTCCCTACTCCGGAGAGCTTGCAAAGCTGAATGGGGACAACGGGCAGTGACGAGGAATTCCGTATCTGAGTGGAACTCTAAGGAAGATTTAGGGAGGCAGATGGGGCTAAGGGTGCCAGGGCTTAGCAGCGCTAAATCTTGGAGAAAGCATCATGTGATCTTCCATAACTACAAGCACTCAGGACCTCCGTGTTCAGTCGAAGGCGCGGATACAGTCAAGCAGGGCGGAATGGATGTAAATAGCATTTTGGTTTGGCCACGGGATTGATGTGCCTGTGTGTAAATGCAGAGCCAGAGAGATTCTGGCCCCACACTAGCACTGCCCAACCCTCATGCCACAGGAAAAGCACTGTCACACCACACACCAACTCGGCGGCTACAGGAATTGCCTTGAAGAAGCAGTTTTATTATGAAACCAAGAGTGAAATGCAGTGTTTGTCCTGGCACACAAACATTTCAAGCAAATAACCAGCGAAAAGTCATGAGCAGAATAGAAAATACATATTACAAAATCCGACATAAAAAAATTAGAATAAGATTTTATTATTAAATCTGGAAGGAGATTTGGGGGGGCTTCAGCTCATTCTATCACTGACACCCCAAGACACACACAATGCAGCTTGGATCCTACACCTGCTGGGCAAGCAAATCCATCTCAGATATTGCTTACGCTCACTGGGGGCATACAGCCTGCGTGCATCAGTGGTGCAGAGCACAAGCAATTTCAAGACCTCTGCATTTCGAAAAACATATTGCTTTCCAAGAGTCAGGATGACGCCTTTGCTCAGCCTACTGTACACATGCAGCTGTTGTTCTTGGTATCTGAAGGACCCGAGTGTGACCAGTGCAGGCATCTCTCCAATAGAGGATATGGTAGAAGCAACAATCCCTGGATGCAAATCTCTGAAGCATTGGCGCATACCAACCAAAAAGGACATTTAAAAGCAAAGATCAATATACCGGGCAATCTGTCCAGGTGTTATTTTTCTGGGGACCCTGATATAAATTTAAGGGTGAAGATTCATAAGATGTTAGACACACAAAGAATGTGTGTGTAAAACAACCTATTGAGTGATGAGGAAAGGCCCATACATATTTCCCTTTCTACTGAATCGCTGCTAGCTATGTACCGACTTGCCTCAGAGCCCTAGAGCAAAGCATAGGACCAGAGCTCTCGGTATTAGCGAACACTCTTGCTCCATCTACACAAGTTAACATGGAGAACTGATTCCTACAGATCCCTTAGAACAGACAGAGCCATCAGATAGGCTAACCAGTCAAAAGGTGCAGCCACACCGTGTTTCACTCCTGTGTCAAGCATCACATTAAGCCTGAGAAAGCAACATCGCAGGGAAGACGGAGGAGTTAATGTGGAAATGGGGGAAATCCCTTGCAGCTCAGATGCAGAGTCAATTCACTGCAACGTCTTTTCAAGCCAAGCATTCCCGGGACGAGGGGGCGAGAGGTGAGGAAGGAAGGCTGGTTTGAGGGTGCATGAAAGGAGTTAAATCTGACTGAGCTACTCTGCTTGTTAGATGAGGACAACACAAAATCCAACCTGAGAATAAAAACCGAGCAAAGGACTCTTTCTAAAAGGCAGGAGAAATCTCACGAACATTGATACGAAATGCCACAAGCTCCAGAACAGCCCCTAGAGGCAGGTGAAGTGGAGCCATCTGAGTGGGTTTAATTTGTAAATATTCTGGTATTTCCCTCTTTATTCTGGGGCTTTGGCTTTGATCTACTATCAAACACCAGCTCCTGCTCCACCCCAGTCTCCACTAGATCACCTCATGGAGCAGAGGAAGACCCTTATGGGGTGGTTAGTGACGTTTAAAGCCCATCTGAGACAAGACTTACTATGGTTTTTGGCAGGGTCAGTTAATATGCTAGAGACCCTTGTCTGGCCAGCTAGGGAGCAAACCTGATATTGCAGGTTGGGAGGGGAAACCCGAGTGTAAGCCAAGGATCCACAGCACAACCTAAGTAGAGCTGCATGGTGCGCTCGAGCTGAAGCATGTGTTAGTTAGGCTGTTAGTGCATATACCCTGATACAGCCAAACTTTAAGAGTAATTTCCTCAGGGCGAAGAAGGGAGAGGGTGATTCCTTTGCCCAATGAATAGGAGACTATAACAAGACAGCAAGGTTTAAATAGAAGGGAGGCTCCAGGTAGTTCCTGTTTTAAGTGGCATAACCTTCCCCTCAACCCAAGAGTGAAACTCCCCAGGGCACAGCAAGGGAAGCAAACCCTTCTCCATCTTTACCCCTCAATGGCATCTCCCCTTCCTCATCCTACATCTGGTAGATGCTTGGCCACTCCAGTCCTCCTTCCCACTAGCTGGGTTATAGACCGAGGGCCCAACTCATGCCCTTGTGTGGGCATTTATGCCAGTGCACAGAGGGTGTAACACCCAATTTTGATGTGGTGAGATTACCCACCTACTCTGCACTGCTGTAAATACCTATACAAGTGGGAGGGGAATGGAGAACCGGGAACTGGGGTTCCTAATCACGGCAGTTACACTAAGAACATTTTTGCTCTTTGCGCTGTGTATTTTTTAACGTAACAACTGAAAAAATAAGCAGCACAAAAGTACAGCTGTCAGGGATTCTCTATTGAGTCCTGTGTGGGGAAGAGAGTCTACACTCCTTACTAGTGCTACTGTGTGTGTGGGTGAGAGGGAGACAGCGAGAGAGCGCACACATGAGCATGCTCCTCCCCCCAACAGGAAAATCCTAAAATGAACAGACATCAGACAATCCCAAAGCGCTCTGCTCTTTTCCTCTTCTTTGCCTGCAAAAGGGATTGAAAGAAAAATCAAAACCAAAAAGAAACAAACAGTCACAATTAGCCCTCCCCTCCCCTCCCCGCCACATCCATTTGGAGGAAGACTTAAAAACACCACACGATGGTAGCTAGTGGCACTAGTGCATGGCTGACCCGGCCCCGCTCTGAACATGGGAGCACAAGGTTAGTTCAGGAGGTTATTCGGTATTGATGTTTGGCAAGGAGCTACAAGATTTTTGTCCAGCATTTGAACAAACGGAGTCTGAGAGCAAGTTGCAAAGCATACAGTGCCCAAGATACAGTGCTGCTAAAGTCACTTCATCTCGCTGGCAACGTGCTACAAAAGGGAACAATGCCTACTTGAGAGGCCTGGAAAGCCTTCCAGGCAATGGGGAGGTGGGAAAATTAAAAGGGCAAAGGGTTAACACTCTTCTATTCATGGAAAAGGTGAGAGGGACACACTAAACTGCATTAAATATTCTATTGCGCGTCTCAGATATGCCTTTAACTTGAGACACGAGGGGCGTATAAATCTTAATTTTTAGCAGGATAAATAGCCGGGGGCAACAGAAGCCCGAACCAAGAATCTCCAGGGGAAAGGTGCATTTGAGTGCACACAATACTAGTAAAAAGACCTTTTTGTTCCAAGCAGAATCTATAAGTGACCTAACGGAAAAACATGGAATCCCTCAACCCCAGCCACCCCCTCTGCTGAACTGAACAGGGGCTCCTTCTCCAGTGCCGCTTGCCGGAGGCTGGGAATGCCATGCACCATTTCATTCGAGGGGAGCGTTTATCAAAAAGCTAAAAACAGAACAAAACAAAAAAGCCCCCAAACCCCACCTGAATTGCTGAGCTCACTCTTCAGAGCCAAACAAAACACCACTTCTTGTGCGTTGAATCCAGAAGCCATCTGGTTAAGTAGCTTCTGAGACCTCCACAGCTCACCCTCCCGCAACCTTTGCCATTTGATTGTTAAAATTAAAATCCACATCTCCGCAGCCCTCTGTGGCTAGTGATGGGGCCTCAGCTCTCACTGATTTATGCGCCAGAGTATTATTTACGCAGCACCACAGGTGTGCACGGTACTCATCACAGGAACTGCCACAACACATCAGATCAAGGGACCATCTCTGGTACCAGGTACCACACAGCAAGGCCTAGTCCCCAGAAGTAAAATGGCAAGTCACTGCCTTGCAGAGTTTGCAAATTAAAAAAAATCAGACCAAAGGCATTAACAGCAGGACAGAAGTGTTAAAATAAAAGATGGAGAGAAAAGTGAGGAATGTGGTCAATTTTTCAATCTTTACGGATTCCTTTCTTTTTAATGTTGTGAAATTACACGGATTTTATGAAGAAAGGCATGAGGCAAGTTTAAAATCCAAGGGCTTCCTGGATAAAGGCAGTGGAAAGGAAAGGTGTGAAGGGGAGGTGGTATTCTAGGTCACTCAAGGCATGAAGGGAGCAGCGTGGAGGAAACTGGAGGAGAACTATTGTTCCTAATTTTCTGCAGTTTAGTTTGCAAGACTAAAAGCTCAGCCACATCAGGCTGAGCTGGCCAGATCTTGTAGCCAATCCAACCCAGTCTGGCAAGCTCCCCAGGTGGGATATGTGTCCAGAGATAGGTGATCAGTCATGTAAAGAGGAGATTGTATCTGTTCATTGCCATCCCTGGGGTATATCTGAAGGGACTGAACCATATGGACCAGTAGTGAGATCCACTTGAGTAGCAAGATCTCACATGCTCAAAGAGTTACAGTGCCATCTTCTGGGATTGCCAACCCCCCAAACAATTCAGCATGGAAAGTGCTCTCGGCTGCCCTCCCGCTCCCAAACTTCCCATCACATATCCCTCTGCTTGCAGGGCTGGCATTTTACCTCTGTGTCCTCTGTGGCTGCAGCCCCAGCTGAGCTAGTGACAATGCCAAACCGTTCCTTCCTCTTCTTCAGCTTCTCATCATCCTCGCTCTGTGCGGAAAGAAGGGAGAGACGAGTTAGTTTGTGAGACAGGCCCAGAAGATTCATTTTAACAGCTGATACGGGTCCCTGCCTTGCACCCAAATCTTCCTGCTTTTAGCTAAAGTCCAGCTGCTGGAAAAGAGAGTTAGTTGCAAGATGATTTGGGGGTCCTTGTGAATTAGTGCAGAGCTGAACATACACGTGAGCAGGCATCATGCTAGCAAAGTTAGGCGCACTGTCCACAGGGATTTACTGAACAGATGCTACAAAAGAATCTCCTGAGGAGCAATTATGATGATAAATAGGTCTCCAAGCAAAACCTGCTCTCCCTCCATGGAGAAGTGAAACCAATTTTTCTGGAGTACAGTGGTGAAGTTCATGGAGTTTGTGAGAATAATGGCTAAATGGCTAACTAACCTATGAGCTTGCACTGAACAGCAGGCCGGGGCTGGATTTTAGTTAGGAATCTAGCAATGAAAGTCTCTGGATCCCTATTACCAGCCCAAGTGGAGGCTCAATGTTGAGGATTTAAAACAGCTAACATTAAAATCAAAACGTTTCCATGATGAAGTGCTCCAATGGAAATGGTTTTAAAAGCTGCCCCACAGAGTTTGCAACATGAAGAGAAGCTGCACTAGAAGCAGAAAGCGCAGCTAGTGACTTCTGCACAATGACTGCAAAAACACCGAACGGCATAAACACTTTCCAACAGCTCAGGTGAAACTAGGAGCAAAAGGGAAGAACCCAATTGCCTTTGACGGGGGACGGTCAGGAGCATCACTATAAACACCCACCTGACTGCTGCATGGTTTTCCTCATTTAGAAATTAATGATACAGAGGATGTACTCTCAGAACAATGCAGACAGGGTCAGACCAGTGGTCCATCCAGCCATCTGTACCCTGTCTTCTGACAGCAGCCCGTGCCAGAGGCTACAAAGGGAATCCACTCATCTATCCTGTCATCCCATCTAGCTCCCAGCAGTTGGAGATTTAGGAACCCCTGGCATGGGGTTGCATCCCCCAGCACCTTGATGCAACCTCATGCCAGGGGGTTCCTAAATTATTCCTTGATTATGCCTTGGCCAACAGCCATTGATGAACCCAGCCTCCTTGATCTTCTCCTGTTGTTTTTAAACCTAATTATACTTTTGGTGTTCACAACATCCCCTAGCAACAAGTTCCACAGGCTGACCATGCACAGTGTGAAGCAGTAGTTCATGTGTTATGTGAAGGGATAAGTAACACTTCCTTATTCCCTTTTTCCATATGATTCATGATTTTATAGACCATCCTATCTCCCCCCTCCCCTCCAATCATCTCTTTTCCAAATGAACAAAGGCCGTCTTTTTAATCTTATACTTGATCCTGTGGTGAAACCATAGCATCACGTTTGCAACATGACAGCTCTCTCTATAGGAGCAGATGAACAACAGCTACAGGACTATGTGAAACATTCATTATAAACCAAGAGGCCATTGTACTCCCCAGGTGCTTATGTTGTATAAATAGTTTCTCATGCCTGCCCAAGTGACAGACCCCGAGCTTTAGAGATTAGCTGTACAAAGTTCCCCATTTGCCGTTGAAGATTTCCTAGAACATAATGATGGTCTCCAAACTTTTACCAAAAGAACTGGTAACTTCAGAAGGGAATTAGGAGAGACTTTTCAGTAACACCAGGAAATTACCTAATGGACTAATGTTGCTTCCACGGACGATTTTTATGGCCATGTGGATTTATTTTATTACTAGAAAATTTACCCAGCATTGTTTGGGTCCTTCAAGGCTGGGGGACACAGGGGTCAGGGCAGGGAGTGAAGGCAGCTAGCAGTGTTGTTCCCCAGGGGTGGTCCGGGGCAGTGGACACTATGCTGCCCAGCCAGTGGGGCTCTTGCTTGCTGCCCCCTTGTAGTCATCCTGGAGTACAACTATCCCTGCTTTCACAGCCCTCCCTTTCCATTTGAAGAGAAACAGTCCCATTCCAGGCACATCCCATTGTCCTGGCACAACCAAATCCTGAATTTGCTTTACGTTATGATAGGAGGAAGCTGCCTACCAAATTTGGGGGGGGGGGGTCTTAGTTCTTATTGTTTAGGAAGAATTCTTGAACAGATTCAGACAGATGAACAGAGAGAAACTCTCTACAATATATAGTAGATTCTTTCCAACACTCAATTTCTTGCCTTTTCTAATCCCCTATTCAGAGCAGTGCCCACTGACACCAAGGATGCTGCTATCTGTCAGCGTGTCCTTTATAAGTCAAGGCAGAGATTTTTTTTTTGCAAGGCAGCATTTCAGTGCAATAAAACAATCCTAAAAATCCCTCCAAGGCTCAATCTAGACACAAAGTGTTAGCACAGGCACCAAAGACCTTTGGTTCAGCCTCAAGAGGACATTTCAGTATCGATCCTGTGTACATCTGCACAGGAGAGCAGGCAAGAGAGACAGCATAGATGTTGGTTTTGCACATTTCAATGCCTACAAACTGATGTGATAAATAATCCATTCCACCAAGCACCCTAACCTTTCACACTGACAACAGACGAGGAGGCTCTGTGGTCCTATTGTGTTAATTATATTAAGTAAACTATGTACATGGGGTCACTGGGGGTTTTGTGAAAGGTGCCTAATGTTTGAAGCCTTCACAAAAAATATACACCTCTTAAAACTGGGAATATTTTAACTCGATCATGATTGTTTCTGTTAAGGGTTTCTACACCCTCACCACTTACTTACAAGCTTAGTGCTCTTTCCTGCAGATCGTTAGTAAGATCTCCCCATAAGTCAATGGCAGCCTCAGATGAAAAAGACCAGGCCTATAATTCACTGTAAAATTCGACAGCTGCTACTCCTCCAGGATCACATGAGGCAGGTCTCACAAACCTGTCAAGTGGTATTTTTCTACACCATTAAATATGAAGGCAGCTTTCCTTTGAATTTTTTGCTGTGGTGCCCTTGGATTTGTTAGCAATGGTTCAATAAACCACACAGGTAAAATCTAGCTTGCTATCTAATGCTCTGGACTATGCATCAGAAAGGAGGTCCCATTCGTTTGCTGACATTCATTTTGTGCTCCCAACTGTTTCCATGGGGGGGGGGAGGGGGAGAATGCTTCTGATTAGGTTATTTTCCCTCTTCACTCCCCTGCTCCTTCAGTGAGAGCAGAGGGTCAAGCAGGCACACCCAGTGGCATCTCTTGCTATAGACATGATACATTTAGCTATCACTGGCAGGATACGAGAGCCGATCAACGAATGGCTGTCAAGTGGCAGTGGAGACAATCTGATAGGCCACACAACTATTTCACTACTAGCCATAGGTCTCTTTCTCCCCAGCTCCTCTCGTCCTTTTCTATTCAGTGCACTAGCCATCACTGCTCTCAAAAGCATTTCCATTTTGATATGACCACCTTAGTATTCCAGCTACCATCACAAAGTCCATTTCAGCTATTTGCGGTCTGAATGGACACAATTTTACTGACATTTCTCAAAATCGCCACGTCCCTACATTTTGAGAGATGGCTTTTATCTCCACTGCCATTACCTACACGGCTATCTTGACTGCCAGTAATAACCAAGGCCATCATTACCCTTTAAAAGCCTCAATGCATCCATTTTCAATGGGTTTATTTCTAGCTTTGGCTATTTCAGTCCTCATTTAGCCAGTTTCGTCAACCAAGGCTGTCCAATTACCTTGCTACACTCCCATAATTTCTCCTCTGTCCCTGGTCACGAAATATATTTCATGTCCTCGCCTCTTCCTCCCCCCATACCATTTGTTACATTTCATGATTTGGGAGAGTGTGGTCTGATAGAGGCACTAAAAGGCATTCATTTGCAGCATGCAGAGCCATCCTTGGGATGGCTCAAGTAAGAGATGAAACCAATTGAAACCATCACCAACATAGTGGGTGCCTGGAACTCCTCACTGGACACACAACTTCCCACATCCATCAAGTATCCCAGGGAAATGGGTATGAATGGGATAGATCATTCTTACTAAAAAGGCAAAACCTAAGAACAAGATCCCAGGAGGGCCCACTGCCTACAGATAGCAGAAATAATATATTAGTAATAAAATACCTTTGCATCCCTACTGCTCCATTTTGACAAACTGACTGTAGCCAGCCACGCAGAAGAAACCAATGGACAGTCAGAAAAAGATCCATTTAAATGCAAGCTTGCAAAACAGATCCACTGACAGCACCAGTGCTGTGGCCAATTTTCATGACAAAAGTGACACTTGACACACCATTAGCAAGCAGCTGGACAAACTTCAATATATCAATACCGTACATAAGTGACACTATAGCAACCAGCTCAACATTATTAATTATGGTATCGCCATGTGCTGTGGCAACAGAGATGACAGAAAAGTGTTAATTGAAAACTCAGCGATTTCTTGTGAGTTTTGACTCCATCGCAGTCCTGGCCCAAGTGGCCCATTCATTTCTTCCTGTGCTCTTAGGACTCTTCACCGGAGTAATTACTAGGGATGACTGAGTGTAAATGATTAGATAAGCAGATGCTTATCAGTCAATAGTGTCTGTTACACTTCATCTGAAGAAATAGGTTGTGCCCACGAAAGAGCATGAGACTGGGTACATGTTTGGTTAGTCTTTAACATACTGCTAGACTGTTGGTTTTCCAGTTACAGACTAACTCAGCTACCTCTCTGAAGCTTTTGTTACACTCAGCACATCCTCCCTGGGAACCAGGCAGGCAGGCAGGCAGGAAAGCCTCCTACCCAGAAGCGGAGCCTGAAGCCCCTGCTGACCTAGCTCCCAGTATGGAGGCTTCTTTGCGGCAGGGAAGCCTGCTCCCCAGGAGCGGGGCTGGTGGGGGCTGGCTGCCCTGCTCTCAGGGAGGCTTTGCTGCAAGTTCTGCTTATTTAAGCTTCATCCTGCCGAGCCTGCAGCATGTAACCAATGACGTTTTCAGCGATTACACAGTTACCTATTTAACCGACTTTTAACATCTCTAGAGATTGCTGCTAAATACAACGGCTACTT